AATGAAGGACACCAGCTCTCGACCATGTTCAAGAAGACTACAGCATCTGCTGCCAGACTGTGCGCATCTCTACGGAATGTGTAAGCAGGCCAGACGAGCATAGCAGTACGAAGCATCGAAGACGGTTGGCCTCAGAGCAGTCGCATGTCCAATCTGCGTCCCACCCTCCCAGCACCTCACATCAACTCACCACCGGGATCCGTGCAGCCCTGCGCGGCCTTCGTATCCAAAAGCATGAAACTGTGGAGAGAAGTTTCCCTTGTACCTTGCGTAGGAGCTTTGCCAGTGGTAACCCTCTCAAAACCCATCCTTTCAATGTGGGCTTATTAGCGTTATCATGTCGCTTCGTCCGGCGCACCCCTTGGCACGTCGGTTGTCCAGCTCTGCATGCACCGTAGCAGCTAAGAGCTTCTCGGTTTCAATCTTGGCGACCTGCTTTCGAATCGACGGGTTACCAATCACTTGCTGAGGAACTTGACAATCACTGCACTGTGATTTGACGGCCTACAGAACACTTGTTCAGCGCCTGGACGTTGCCATGAGGGTCGCGGTCCAAGAGCAGCTGTGCACGAATGAAGCTGGGCAGGTACCTGCTTCAGTGATTTCGTGAGTCTCTTCGCTGCCATTCCCCTTCACATCACCATGTGTAGAAGGCTGTGCACGAGAGGCAGTTGGCAAACCTGCCTAAAGCACTCCGCATTCTCTTTGGACAGGACGGCCAGCACACCCTGAAAAGTAGGGGCAGACAAGGGGTTCGGGATCGTCACTCAACTGGAGCACCATGCGCTGCCTCTTCTGTGGCTTCAACCCCTGGCTGGGCCAGCTTGTCGTTGATCTCCGAGATCAGGGCGTTGAACTCCGGGATGAACCTTTCGCACGACGCTTCCACAGCAGCCCTTCTGGGAACATCCGAACACTGGGACGCAAACTCAATCAGACCCTCTGGCAGAATGATGACGCCGTAGTCCTGAAAAAGTGGAACTCCAGAAACATGTCCCCAGGACGAGAGACAAATCTGATGGATGCCAAACAGTCAGATTCTATAACTGCGAGACCCTCCACGGGCTCCTTGCCATCCTTGCTTCTCGCCTCAATCATGTCCTCGGTGGCGAGAAGGAAACAAAGCGAAACAGCCTCTGAACACAGGTTGAACCGCGCTGAGGCCGCTGCTGCCATGTCCATGGTGATGTCTTTCAGGCTCTTCTTGCCCTCGGCCACCTGCAAACTCGGGCTAACTTCGAATACCAGAGTGTTGCAATCCACTGAGACGATCAGATCATGCGTTGAGCTTACGAACGTCAGGATCATGCGTTGAGCTCAGCAATGTGAGGCGATAGCTGGTCATATTGCTTGTGAGGTTAGGATTGCTTACACAAGCCACATCATGGTGGTGATGGTGGTGGTGGTGGTGTGG